GGGATTTTTTCAAATGCTTGAGGAGAAGCTAGGGTTTTCTGCTGACAGTCACTCAAGATGGGAGGCTCAGATGATTTTGCTTTGTTCTTGAAGGAAAGGGTGGTCCTAGGTTAGTTGAGCTAATTAAAATTTCAAAAGATAGATGAAAAGGAAAAGGAAAAGATAGGAATATAGATTTAGGTTTCAATAGCTCTTCTTATTTATTTATTTACTTTCCTTAAAGGTTTGAGAAAGATTTAAAGTTGTTTTCAAGTCTTAGGATGTCAGGGAGGTCAATCTTAATTTCATCTTCTTACCTCACAATTGGGTTTTCCTATCTCCCCATAAGTATACCTTGATCTGCCAAAAAGAGACTATACCATGTTCTCAGTTTAAGCCTAAAGATTAAATTCTAAAGTTCTAAGCAGTTTTAAGTTGTCTTCTGTTATTCTGATTTAGAAAGACGTCCCAGTGCTAATCTCTGGGCATCCATATTGTTTTTCTAGTAGAGTTAAGAATTTTTCTTCTACTTTTCTCTGATACTACCCCTTTATGGTCACAAGTATATTGTGAAGTACTCAGTCTTTCTGGGCCCAGATAACTCCTGTGTGTTCTCGTTCATTTAACAGAAATTCTGCCTGAGTTCTTACTCCAATTCTTATTCTAAGAATCTGCTTAGTAATTCTGTCTTTTCCTAAAACCATGTCCATTTGCTTTTGCCAATCCTTCCAATTCAAAGGAAAGATATAATTCATGAGGGGCTGTAATACATAGTAAGGATTTATCAGTCTTGTTGGTGCTATTGGTCTGTTCTCCTGGATTTCTGTGTTGCTCCCCTTCGATATCTGGTTGAGGATAATACCATTCTATTTGTTGGACTTTTGGTGATTAGTGTACTAGGTATTATTTTACCCTTGGATATCATAGTAGTCATTAGAACTATTTACAAGTATCCAGGTGCTCCACCTAGTATCATGGCATAGTTGCCATGTGACTTTAATGACCAATAAAATGTGAATGGAAGTAAGGACATTATTTTCTAGGTGGAAACTTTTTAATGGCTAGAGCAGGATGATGCAGCCCTAGGATTTAACTTTTATGATTTCTACTGTGACAATTCTAGAAAGCATATATTCCAGTGAAGCCTCTATTAATCTGGGAATCTCAGTAATTACAATGAGCAGGGTCCCTGCAGTGGATATTATGCTGAGCTCCCTAGATTCACCCTTTAGATATGAAGCATTTTTTTTCTCCAAATACTGGAAATGTTGGTGGCTAAAAGCTGAGTCCTTCTCTGAGATTGTTCTTGGCTAAGATTAACTTCCTTCCCTGGGTGCAACCCCTAGCCAGTAACTGGCTGCTGAAAGGGCATAAAGACCTAACCCCCTGACTCAATGAAGGACAATGCTGAAATTGGGTGAAGGATCATTTGCAATTGTATTATAGTTCAACTTCTCCCTCTACTCAATCTTGCCTCCTCAGTCCCTAAGGAGCATTACTCAATAACCTCCTGCATACAAATTTCAGTTTTAGGGCTTGTTTCCTGGTGAACTCCATTCATGATAGGTTCCTTGATGACTTGTATCAAATATGTAATCTGTGAGAAATAAATCTTTGTTGCAATAAGCTGTTTGTTGAAATTTTGGGGATGTTGTTACAATCTACATATCCTGATTTAGTATAGATGCCAGACCTCACTGGAAGTATGGGTCCTTTGTTCTCACCTAAGCTTGACTTATATTGTCTGTATATGTAGTGGCTAAGTCATTGCCAAGTTCTGATTCTTTGATGTTTTTTTTCTCACTGTAGTGAATAACTATGTCCCAACTGAGATATTACAAAGACAACAAAAAGGAAAGGGTTTAATATCTAGTTGTTTACTAATTATTCCTACCAAGTTAGTGTCATGTATTTCTTCATGTGAATTTCCTAAGACTATTTTTCTCTTTTTTATATAATTTACCCTATATATGTATAAGGGTAATGTTTCTTAGGAAAATTTTGTGCAAACAAAAATAGAATAGGGCTGGAATGTAACTCAGGGTTACAGTGGGATGTAGCTCAGGGTTAGAGTGCTTACCTGTCATGCATGAGGCCCTAGTTTGCATTGAGCCAGGAGTTCCATCCCCAGCAAATAAATACTTAAGTTCTTGATCCCAATTTGAAGGAAAACAATATACTACCAATTAATAAACTTTCTGCCCTTCTAACATACTGAAATCCTGTTTTCCTGAGTGTTAGATATAATTTCTTGAAAGCCAAATGTTAAAGTAATACCAGCTTCTTATTTTAGACATTTTAGGCAAAATAAAGTATAGTAAATAAAATTAATGAATCAAAGCATATGCTCCTCTCTTTTTAAAAAGGGATTTTACTATATAGAAAAACTTCTCTTTGCCTGAAGGGTAAACAGTATAAAAATATTTCAACTAAAAAGAGTCTTAGAGTTCTGTGCAAGTATTACTACAACCCCTAATTATAGCTGATATATATGATAACAGAAACCAGTTTAAGGAATGTGGAGATTTATTTACATCAAGTTCAGATAAAGAGATTAAAGAAGACTTGAACAAGCAAGCAGAGTGTGTGATTTTTGGAGTGCACTTATAAGGAAAGACCAGCAAAACCAGCCTTCAGAATAACCCTTCTGCCTACTAAGAGAAGGGACGACTAGACTTCACCTCTTAAGATCGCCCTCCCACATAATTTTTCCACCTTGCAGCTAAGAATTAAACCCAGACTTCCGATCATGGCGCCAGACACATCACCTTCTCCCCTCTCCTCCAGCAAAATCCCACCCAAGTTGGCTGACCCTGCAGGGTAAAAATAAGGTTGGATGGAACTCCCTCCCCTATCCTGGTGCTTGAGTCAAACCAAATTTCCAAATAGGAAAACAAAAACAAAACAAAACAAAACAAAACAACAACAACAAAAAAAACCCTAAACAGACTAAGGAACTGTGGTACCAACAGAACCTTCTAAATGCCAAGGGTGTGAGGGCTTGATCTCACTCTCTACCCAGAGGCATTAACTCTATTGCAATTTTCCTTCCATATGCCCTAAAAAGCCTCTACCCCCAGTCTTTGTGAATAAAAGCCCTCCTTCGGAGATGTAGAAACCGCGTTGCACAGACAGACGTGCACGTACGGCAAGACGTTGTGTTGAATTTTCAGAGTTTTCTTTTTAGCTTTGCCTCCTCGCAAATGCTCAATTATTCCTGTCAGCTAAAAAGGACTGAGGCGGAAAGGTGCCTGAGGAAAACGCGGCGCCGATTAGAGCAAACACATAAGTATTAGGGGTGATCTTTCCAATTCGGGCTTTTGTTTGAGCAGTAAAGGAGACCAAGGAGGCCAGGGTCTCGGTTCTGGGAAAGGCAGGTCCGCCAGGATTCTTTGGGTTACGAAGAAAGAGGCTCTGGCTGCATGAAACAACGTGGGTAATTCTGCCCCTGAGGCTTTTCTCCAGGGGACTTGGGGCGACAGTGACGCCTCAGTCCAGCTAAATGTAGGAAGAGTTAGCCGAATGCTGGACAAAAGATGTAGTTTACGTACACACACAACTGTCTAACCATCCGCGTACGGAAGGCATGTGTGTGTGAGGCAGAAAAGCCACTGCTGCTTGCGCGGGTTGCCAGCCCCACCCTGCCCTCGGCGGCTCGGGCGAGAGACACTGCGCGAGGCTTCGGATCTCTGGCCAGCCCGGGAGCCAGGGGCGGGGCCGGGCGGGGCCGGGCGGGGCCGCGAGCGCGCAGGCGCAGTGCGGCTTCGTCGCGCCGCCACCGCCGCCGCCCGCGTTGCACCACAGGCCCGAGACAGACTGGGCCGGGAAGAGCTGGAGACTGAGAAGGAGGCGGTGGCGGAGGCGGGGCGACTCCGGTGACCGGGAGCGCCGCAGACTGGCAGCTGCGGCGACTCCCCCCTTTGTGTCTGGTCTGCTCCAAGCCACTGGAAGTGCTTCCCGGAGGGGCACGGGGTGTCTCGCCGGCTTGCTGCCCACCCTTTTTCCCAGCAACCTACATCCGCCCTCCCGCCGCCCCCCGCCC